GGTTTCCCCATTAAATTTCATACTTTTCATGTCTTACCTTTGGAATAATATTCTCTATCATTTCACAAGAAAATTTATTTTTTCTTGAAAATCTTTGGACATTGAGAGAAAGTTTCACTTCAGGGATCTGAACAGTGAAAGCATCAATGGTGTCTGCAAAAGTTACAAGTGCTATGTAAACCTAATCTTCCATCTTATGGACACTGAAGGCCTCTTCTGATTCACTACAAATCTTCTACACTAATATTTAAGTGCTGTTAGACTCTTATGCTACACTGTTTCTTTCCAGTAAACTCAAGATACAGCAGGATACAGCTGTGCAATTCAAGAATACTTTTCTTTGATCAAGCACTGACTGAAATACACAGTACATCTAGCTTTCACTATTTTTACTAGGGCTCAGTGACACATTTTTAAGACAATGTGGTGCTAGAAAATGTGGATTTAATATATAAAAAGCATCCATTCATACCACAAACCTATCTTCATATTTCCTCATTCCTTAATGTCTTCAGTATTCATACTACACACTAATATGAGACAAAATGTTTCCATTTCTTCCTATCATCTATCCCCTTACCTAAAGACATTTTTTTTTTTTCAACAAGTCGGCCGTCTCCCACCGAGGCAGGGTGACCCAAAGAAAAAGAAAATCCCCAAAAAGAAAATACTTTCATCATCATTCAACACTTTCACCTCACTCACACATAATCACTGTTTTTGCAGAGGTGCCCAGAATACAACAACTTAAAAGTATATACGTATAAAAATACACAATATATCTCTCCAAACTGCCAATATCCCAAACCCCTCCTTTAGAGTGCAGGCATTGTACTTCCCATTTCCAGGACTCAAGTCCGGTTATATAAAATAACCGATTTCCCTGAATCCCTTCACTAAATATTACCCTGCTCACACTCCAACAGATCGTCAGGTCCCAAATACCATTTGTCTCCATTCACTCCTATCTAACACGCTCATGCACGCTTGCTGGAAGTCCAAACCCCTCGCCCACAAGACCTCCTTTACCCCTCCCTCCAACCTTTTTGAGGACGACCCCTACCCCGCCTTCCTTCCCCTACAGATTTATACGCTCTCCATGTCATTCTACTTTGATCCATTCTCTCTAAATGACCAAACCATCTCAACAAACCCTCTTCAGCCCTCTGACTAATACTTTTATTAACTTCACACCTTCTCCTAATTTCCACACTCCGAATTTTCTGCATAATATTTACACCACACATTGCTCTTGGACAGGACATCTCCACTGCCTCCAACCGCCTCCTCGCTGCAGCATTTAAAACCCAAGCTTCACACCCATATAAGAGTATTGGTACTACTATACTTTCATACATTCCCTTCTTTGCCTCCACAGATAACATTTTTTGCCTCCATATATACCTCAATGCACCACTCACCTTTTTTCCCTCATCAATTCTATGATTAACCTCATCTTCATAAATCCATCTGCTGACACGTCAACTCCCAAATATCTGAAAACATTCACTTCTTCCATACTCCTCCTCCCCAATTTGATATCCAATTTTTCTTTATCTAAATCATTTGATACTCTCATTACCTTACTCTTTTCTATGTTTACTTTCAACTTTCTACCTTTACACACATTCCCAAATTCGTCCACTAAGCTTTGCAATTTTTCTTTAGAATCTCCCATAAGCACAGTATCATCAGCAAAAAGTAACTGTGTCACTTCCCATTTTGTATTTAATTCCCCATAATTTAATCCCACCCCTCTCCCGAACATCCTAGCATTTACTTCTTTTACAACCCCATCTATAAATAAAGACATATTCCCCTAAAATACCTTCTCTGTCTGCCAAACATTAAAGAAACTCCAACCAATTTAACACCTTAACCCAACCTGCTTTAATCATCTGTTCTAATTCCATTCACCCATTGCTTTTCCCACTTCTAGCTTCTTTACTGCCTCACTTACTTCTGGATCTACACACCTGTTAATACAGCTCTTTCCTAGGACCTCAGCCTCAACAGGAAATATCAGCCTCCATTTCACCATCCACATTTAAGAATTATTTAAAATAACAAATAAAGAATCACACACAAAGTGGGAGTTGTCACAGCTGCTCTTTGCTGATGACACTGTGCTCTTGGGAGATTCTGAAGAGAAGTTGCAGAGATTGGTGGATGAATTTGGTAGGGTGTGCAAAAGAAGAAAATTAAAGGTGAATACAGGAAAGAGTAAAGTTATGAGGATAACAAAAAGATTAGGTGATGAAAGATTGAATATCAGATTGGAGGGAGAGAGTATGGAGGAGGTGAATGTATTCAGATATTTGGGAGTGGACGTATCAGCGGATGGGTCTATGAAAGATGAGGTGAATCATAGAATTGATGAGGGAAAAAGAGTGAGTGGTGCACTTAGGAGTCTGTGGAGACAAAGAACTTTGTCCTTGGAGGCAAAGAGGGAAATGTATGAGAGTATAGTTTTACCAACGCTCTTATATGGGTGTGAAGCATGGGTGATGAATGTTGCAGCGAGGAGAAGGCTGGAGGCAGTGGAGATGTCATGTCTGAGGGCAATGTGTGGTGTGAATATAATGCAGAGAATTTGTAGTTTGGAAGTTAGGAGGAGGTGCGGGATTACCAAAACTGTTGTCCAGAGGGCTGAGGAAGGTTGTTGAGGTGGTTCGGACATGTAGAGAGAATGGAGCGAAACAGAATGACTTCAAGAGTGTATCAGCCCTGTAGTGGAAGGAAGGTGGGGTAGGGGTCGGCCTAGGAAAGGTTGGAGAGAGGGGGTAAAGGAGGTTTTGTGTGCGAGGGGCTTGGACTTCCAGCAGGTATGCGTGAGCGTGTTTGATAGGAGTGAATGGAGACAAATGGTTTTTAATACTTGACGTGCTGTTGGAGTGTGAGCAAAGTAACATTTATGAAGGGGTTCAGGGAAACCGGCAGGCCGGACTTGAGTCCTGGAGATGGGAAGTACAGTGCCTGCACTCTGAAGGAGGGGTGTTAATGTTGCAGTTTAAAAACTGTAGTGTAAAGCACCCTTCTGGCAAGACAGTGATGGAGTGAATGATGGTGAAAGTTTTTCTTTTTCGGGCCACCCTGCCTTGGTGGGAATCGGCCAGTGTGATAATAAAATAATAATAAATAACATCTCCATATCTCCATATCACCACCACCTTACCACCTCTACCTTCATTTTTACCATCTCTCTCTACCACATTTACCTTCATGTTCACTATCTAACAGCATTCACACATGATGTATTATGTTAACTTGCTTTTCTTTATTTTGTCTGCTGCCATAAAATTCATCTTCCCTCAATAATCAGTTAACAGTGTATCACTCTTTCACTCACTGCTCTTTTCCAAGCCTTTACTATACTAATTTTTTCAATTTCTTAATCTCTCCCCACTTGGTAGACATTCCCTGAATTACTTTTGGTTGTCAAACCTTTCATATGATAACTAAACAAGCAACAACAAAGTGAATATTATATCAAATTACAATAACTGAAAATGAATAGCAAACAAGCACCAACAAAAATGGCTTCTTCAAATGCAAGATAATCAGACAACTGTTTGATTATCTTCGTTTATGACTTCGAATAAGCTATTGAGAATTTATTTTAAGAGGATATTATTCCTCCAGCAGGCATGTGTGAGCATGTTTCATAAAGTGAGTGGAGGCAAATGTTTTTTTGGGACTTGATGAGCTGTTGGAGCTTGAGCAGGGTAATATTTTGTGAAGGGATTCAAGGAAACCAGTTAGCTCAACTCGAGTCCTGGAGGTGGGAAGTACAATGCCTGCACTTAAAAGGAAGGGTTTGGGATACGGCTGTTTGGAATGACATCTGAACTGTCATATCTGTGTGTCTCTGCAAAGACAGTGATTATGAGTGAATGATGGTGAAAGCGTTCCTTTTTTGGGTCACCCTACCTCGGTGGGAGATGGCCAAAGTAATAAAAAAAATACAAATTATAGTAGATCTTGTGATTTCTTAGCCAATAATTGTTTTGACACAAATATTAGGTACAGAAATAGCAATCAGTCACAAATGCATTGACAGATGAACATGTCCACCTGCCTCTGTCACATACTAATGTCCAGAAATACAGTAGTCTCCCCCATATCCGAGGGGCATACGTTCTATGACCTATCGTAGATACCTGAAACCACATCTTGCTACTTCTACTTACACTTAGGTCACACTACACATACATGTATAAGCATATATATATATACATACCCCTCTGGGTTTTCTTTTATTTTCTTTATAGTACTTGTTCTTGTTTATTTCCTTTTATCTCCACGGGGAAGAGGAACAGAATTCTTCCTCCATATGCCATGCGTGTCGTAAGAGGCGACTAAAATGCCGGGAGCAAGGGGCTAGTAACCCCTTCTCCTGCATATATTACTAAATTTAAAAGGAGAAACTTTCGTTTTTCCTTTTGGGCCACCCCCACCTCAGTGGGATATGGCTGGTACATTGAAAGAAAGAAGAAAAGTACACACATGTACAATTATCATACATAGTGTGAATTACCTCAGATAATCCAAGAAAGTGAAGTAAAGTGCTATACTGTGCTTGTAGATATGAGGTATAAGCATGACTGTGGCAAGGTATACACATTTCAGCCACAGTTGTATCGCTCCACTTGTGCAGCCACAAGGATTCTGATACATGTTTTTCCACCTGATAATCAGGTTCACAAGTGGCTCTCTGAAAGCAAGCAAGAGACAGAGACAGAGAAAAAGAGACAGAAAGAGAAAGAGACAGAGACAGACAGAGCATCGGTGATAGGACATTCTGACAGGATGACACTAGCAGTGGCATGACCCATTGTATAATGCCTAGGTCTATCAGGCCTTTGTTGCCTAATTTGAATGTAGAAAAAAATAGTGTGTTGATCTACGTCTGGAGTGCTAGCAGTAATGTGTAGATCAACGGTTTGACAGTTAAAGAGTTAAATAACTGAATATCTGACAAATTAAACCAAGTTCCTCACCTGACAGGCAACTTTTTCACAACGTCATCACCAACAACCTTTGCAGCTTGGCATCTCATGACAAATCTCTCCAATATTGAATATGCTGGAGGAACGTCCACACATATTTGTGGCATGTCCTCATAGACCTGTAACACAATTATGTACATTGAGTAGTGAAATTTAATAATCTTGTATATTACTGCATGCCCAAAACCTATCCTGTTGAAAAAAAAAAAAGGGGGGGGAGGGTTAACAATAGTTTGTTGTTACTGATTAAAAATTTAGGTACTACTTGAATATGTGGATGTATTGTTAAACATTCTTGAATTATTTCAGTTAACTATATATGTAATGATGCAGGGTGCAAGAAAGTCTGCTGATGAAGTTTGTTAGGCGAGATATCCAAGCTAAAGATATATTTGTAGTCCTGCTGCAGCTGAACAGCAGTACTATCTAAGAGGCTGCAGCTTTTGTTGGATGACACAAACGTGGCTTTTCTTGCTGCAACAGGTTTCAAGATTATTCTTCTTTCACAGTCTAGACTTAGACTCAGGCTTCCTTGTTACTGCCTGATCAACCACACTGTTACTATTAGGCTGCATGCTAACACAAACAACACAACTGACTAATCAGGTACTTACATTAGGTAGATCTACCTGTGATCTGTGTGTCCAGTTTCAAGAGTTTTTCTAGCCTAGCCCAGCTTAAGATGTGGTTCAGTTTCTTCTTGAAAACTTATTCTTATAGTAAATGAAGTAGTTGGTACTGTACCAATTTAGTAGTCTCTGGTTCAGAAATTCCACTGTAGTTTTTTAACACTACAGTAACATCCCCAAGCAGCTTGTAGACACACATCAAAGAGGCAATCACCTCTTTTGAAAACACTTAAATGACAAGAGAAGAAATCCATTCAAATTACCCCTTAAACTGTGTCTAATGTACCAGTATGCAACTGACGATTATGTATCCAACATACCAGTGCACACAATTTTTTGTACTTTCAGATCTGCCACCTATCAATATTTTAACTCTGAGTTTTCTACAAAATCTCTTCATACCTTTTAAAAAAATCTAAAGCTAGGCAGGTCCACACAGTGCATCATGCTTAATTACTCAGGTGATGACTGTATATTAGACAGTCTAGTATGTTGCATCACTACCAGCTTCCTTACCAGCAAATAGCACAAAGATGACTTATTAATTCCAAATTTAATACACTTTCATGACACTAACAGTGCAATTCAGCCATAAAACTTATTAGGTAGATTTAATCCTCAATAAGTCAAACAATATGACTTATTGAGGAGTTTTGAAGAGTCCTGGAAGTGTGAAGTACAATGCCTGCACTTTAAAAGAGGGCTATGCCACATTTGCTGTTTGGAATGACATCTGAACTGTCGTATCTGAGCACCTCTGCAACTGATAGTGATTATGTGTGAATGATGAAGAAAGTATTGAATGATGGTGAAAGTGTTTCTTTCTTCAGTGGGAGACGGCTGACGTGTTGAAAAAAAAAAAGTTTTACTGTAGTCTGGAAGGGACAGGTGTTATGGACATATAAAATGTTTATAAAACCCAGGGGATTCCCTCAAGCCTAAATACATAACATATAATCCTTGTACATACATAGTATTACAAGACCAAAGTAGTAAAAAAATAGAATAAACAACAATTATTTCACCAATATGCATTGTAAATTCCAAGTAAGGCAATGCCAGGCTAAGAATTTCCTCATGTATAAAGTGCCAAAACATTTTTTAACACATCTAATATCAAAAGAAATTAGTGTACATAGTGTTCAACATTAAAAGCAATTAAAAAATTAAGAACGATTATAACTCGGCATCAAGAAGGAAAGGAGAAATCAAGAGGGAAGGGAGGGCTCCAGAGAAGAATCAAGAGGGAAGGAAGGGCTCAAGAAAGGAATCAAGGAGGGAGGACTTAAGAGAGGAATCAAGATGGATAAAAAGGAAAAGAATGATGAGGAAAGACAAATCAAGAGGGATGGGATAAACCAAGAGGAAATGAGGAATGAAGAGTACAGTGAGGGATCAAGAGGGAAGGGAGAAATAAATCAAGAGGAAAGGGATGAAGAGGGAGGTCTCAGAGGAGAGAGCAAACAAATAATAATACAGCCTCTCCTCACTTAACCCTTTGACTGTCGACGTCGTATATATACGTCTTACAAGGTACCATGTTTGACGTATATATACTCATAAATTCTAGAAAGTTGAAAGTGAACATAGAAAAGAGTAAGGTGATGAGGGTATCAAATGATTTAGATAAAGAAAAATTGGATATCAAATTGGGGAGGAGGAGTATGGAAGAAGTGAATGTTTTCAGATACTTGGGAGTTGACGTGTCGGCGGATGGATTTATGAAGGATGAGGTTAATCATAGAATTGATGAGGGAAAAAAGGTGAGTGGTGCGTTGAGGTATATGTGGAGTCAAAAAACGTTATCTATGGAGGCAAAGAAGGGAATGTATGAAAGTATAGTAGTACCAACACTCTTATATGGATGTGAAGCTTGGGTGGTAAATGCAGCAGCGAGGAGACGGTTGGAGGCAGTGGAGATGTCCTGTCTAAGGGCAATGTGTGGTGTAAATATTATGCAGAAAATTCGGAGTGTGGAAATTAGGAGAAGGTGTGGAGTTAATAAAAGCATTAGTCAGAGGGCAGAAGAGGGGTTGTTGAGGTGGTTTGGTCATTTAGAGAGAATGGATCAAAGTAGAATGACATGGAAAGCATATAAATCTATAGGGGAAGGAAAGAGGGGTAGGGGTCGTCCTCGAAAGGGTTGGAAGAGGGGGTAAAGGAGGTTTTGTGGGTGAGGGGCTTGGACTTCCAGCAAGCGTGCGTGAGCGTGTTAGATAGGAGTGAATGGAGACGAATGATACTTGGGACCTGACGATCTCTTGGAGTGTGAGCAGGGTAATATTTAGTGAAGGGATTCAGGGAAACCGGTTATTTTCATATAGTCGGACTTGAGTCCTGGAAATGGGAAGTACAATGCCTGCACTTTAAAGGAGGGGTTTGGGATATTGGCAGTTTGGAGGGATATGTTGTGTATCTCTATACATATATGCTTCTAAACTGTTGTATTCTGAGAACCTCTGCAAAAGCAGTGATAATGTGTGAGTGTGGTGAAAGTGTTGAATGATGATGAAAGTATTTTCTTTTTGGGGATTTTCTTTCTTTTTATTTTGGGTCACCCTGCCTCGGTGGGAGACGGCCGACTTGTTGAAAAAAAAAAAAAAAAAAAAAAAAAAATTCTAGCGGCTTCAAATCAAGCAGGAGAAAGCTGGTAGGCCCACATGTGAGAGAATGGGTCTGTGTGGTCAGTGTGCACCATATAAAAAAAATCCTGGAACATGCAGTGCATAATGAGAAAAAAAAAACACTGACCGTTTTTTTTAATTAAAATGCCGACTTTGTGGTCTATTTTTGTATAGTATTTATGGTTGTATTCTCATTTTCTTGGTCTCATTTGATAGAATGGAAAACATATTACAGAAATAGAGGTGATTTTGATTGATTTTACTATAAAAAGAACCTGGAAATGGAGCTCAAAGTAGGGGAAATGTTTGATTTTTGCCAATGTTCAAAAGTAAACAAATGATGTTATTATCCAATAAATGTCGAACTAGCCATTCTAATATGCAGTCGTGAATGGGTTGATGTTATTTATACAATTATTACAGTATTGCAGTAGTCTGCATAACAGTAAATCTTCTATTTTTTGTTTGAATAAAAATTCAAAATAGAAAGCAAGAATAATATCAGAGGGGCTTGGAGATATGACTGATGAACAAAAAAAATGTTATTTTAGAGCCAGGAATGTCTGCATTGTTCATTCTGGACCGTATTTTGAAATTGTCATATTTTTTAATTTTCGCGAAATTGGCCAAATTGCAAATTTCTGACCACGTTATTGGGTAGTTGAAATTGGTAAATGGGCAGTTTCTTGTACTCAATCGATAGAAAAAATGGAGTTCTAAAGCAGTAGCTATGAGTTTGGTCGACTGGAACAATGGAATTAGCCGAAAATAGGGGTCAAAGTGGGCAAAACCGCCGATTTGTAAATATCCCCGAGGTCGCTAACTTTGCGAGAGCGTAATTCCGTCAGTTTTCCATCAAATTTTGTGTTTTTGGTGTCATTACAATCGGGAAAAGATTCTCTATCATTTCATAAGAAATTTTTTTTTTTTTTAAATTTTGCGACACCAGGAGACACTTCAGGATTGGGGGTTGCGACAGTCAAAGGGTTAATGATGTCCTCGTTTACCGACGACTCGAACTTACGACGGGCTCTCTGACCAGTATGCATACCTAAATAATGTACATTACAGCTGATTTCCTCTATTCTGTTTATTACAATGTACAGTACACTACTGTATAAACATTTAAAAATATACTAAACATGTTATAAATGGTGCAAAGGTGACATTAAAACAATATCGAAGATGGTTGACATAAACCCACTACCATTATAGTATGCTCCTCGTTTAGCGACAAATTAGTTTATCGACGCGTTATTAGGAACGGAACTCCGTTGTTAAGTGAGGAGAGGCTGTAATGATTATTATTATTCTTTCAACAAACCGGCCGTATCCCACCAAGATAGGGTGACCCAAAAAGAAAAGTTTGTCTTTTTAACTTCAGTAATGCATGCAGGAGAAGAGGTTACTAGCCCCATGTTTCGTGGAGAAGTATTATTACTATGTAATAATAAAAGTAAACCTAGTAAAAAGCAAGGTGATGAGAGCATCAAAAAAGCATAGGCAATGAGAGATATGACATTAGATTGTAGGGAGCGACCATAGAGGAAGTAATTTTTTTTAAGATGCTGGCCATCTCCCACCAAGGCAGGGCGACCTACAGAAGAAACACTTTCATCATCATTCACACTATTGCTGTCTTGTCAGAGGTGCACAGATATGACAGTTTAGATGTTCCTCTAAACAGCAAATATTCCTACCTCTCCTTTAAAGTGCAGGCATTGTACTTCTCACCTCCAGGACTCAAGTCCAGTTAACCGGCTTCCCTGAATCCCTTCACAAAATATTACCCTGCTCACACTCCAACAGCTCATTAGGTCTCAAAAACCATTTGCCTCCATTCACTCCTATCTAACATGTTCACATATGCCTGCTGCAAACCTCTTGTGCCCCTTCCCTCCATCCTTTCCTAGGATGACCCCTACCCCTCCACTATAGATTTATACATCCTCCAAGTCATCCTATTTTGCTCCATCCTCTCTAAATGACCAAACCATCTCACCAGCCCCTCTTCAGCCCTCTAAATAATACTTTTAATAATTCTACACCTCCTCCTAATTTCCACACTATGAATTCTCTGCATAATATTTACACTACACATTGCCTTAGACATGACATCTTCACTACCTCCAGCCTCCTCCTTGCAGCAGCATTTACAACTCATGCTTCACATCCATATAATAGTGTTGGTACCACTATACTCTTGTACATTTCCTTCTTTGCCTATATGGATAACGTTTTTTTTGTCACCACAGTACCTCAATGCACCACCCACCTTTTTCCTTCATCACTTAAATGGTATATCTTGTCTTTCATATACGCATCCACTGACAAATCTACTCCCAAATATTTGAACACATTCACTTCTTCCTTATTCCTTCCCCTTCAATCTGATATCCAATTTTTCCTTACCTAACTCATTTGATACCTTCATCACCTTATTCTTATCTATGCGCTTTCAACTTCCTTTATTTGGGAGTGGACTTGTCAGTGGATGGTTCTATAAGAGATCAGGTGAACCGTAGAACTGATAAAGAAAAAAAAGTGGATAAGGCATCTGTGGAGACAGAATTTTATTCACAGAAAAAAAAAAAAAAAAGAGTACAGTTGTACCAATACTGTTGTATGGGTGTAAAGCATAAGTTTTGAATGTTGCAGCAGGGAGGCTGGAGGCAGCAGAGATGCCATATCAGAGGGCACTACATAGTGTGAATATTATGCTGAGAATTTAGAGTTTGGATTAGCAGGTGTGGAGTCACCAAAAGTATATTCGGAGGGCTGAGGAAGGGATGTTGAGGTAGTTTGGACATTCAGAGAGGCTGAGAAATATAGAATGACTATAAGGGTGTATAAATCTGGCATTGAGGGAAGGAGGGGTAGGGGTCATCTTTGGAAAAGCTGAAGGGAGGGAGGATAAAGTGCTAGGGGCTTGGACATGCAGCAGGTGTGTGAATGGAGGCAAGTGGTATTTTATATGATGTGCTGTTGGAGTGTGAGCAAGGTAACATTTACAAAAGGATTCTGGGAAACTGGTTAACTGGACTCGAGTCCTGGAGGTGGGAAGTACAGTGCCTACACTCTGAAGGAGGGGTGGGAAGTACAGTGCCTACACTCTGAAGGAGGGGTGGGAAGTACAGTGCCTACACTCTGAAGGAGGGGTGGGAAGTACAGTGCCTACACTCTGAAGGAGGGGTGGGAAGTACAGTGTCTACACTCTAAAGGAGGGGTGGGAAGTACAGTGCCTACACTCTGAAGGAGGGGTGGGAAGTACAGTGCCTACACTCTGAAGGAGGGGTGGGAAGTACAGTGTCTACACTCTGAAGGAGGGGTGGGAATGATATCGTTTGGAAGGTCATCTGAACAATGATGTTGGTGCCTTCCTAGCAAGATAGTGTATGAATGAGTGGGAGCAAAGTGTTTTATTCTTTGCTGGGTCACCCTACCTCTGTGGAAGACAATATTAAAAACTAAATAATATTTTTCACTTCACCTACCCTGAGAAAACCAGCTTTCATCTGGGTTGGAGTGATGATGATGGCACGGTGAAGTGACCCTAACAAATCACACATCAGTTTTGAGGTACGGTCATCCATCTTCTCTAAAGTCATTACTACTGCTTCATACACCTATGTATGGGAAATGAAAACAAACAATGTTTATTCATAAAATTTGTAGCCCCTTATTTTTCCCTGTATATTATTGTCACTCTTGTTATTCACTGCATTACTAATTACAAGCATTATTACTTTAAAGGAACATAATATACAATTTTAATTTTAATATATACATATGTCATCACATCATGAAGCATGCCTAGTTTACTAGGCACACAACATTTGTAGGATTGTTTGGTCCAGTGGTCTAGAGCGTCATGAGTTTCAACTTGCTTCCCACAAGGTGGGCTAAAACAACAAGTTGGATTCCCTAGCTAGCCGTAGTATGTTACTGCTTAAAGAACAAAAGAATAAAGATTTTATTTCTTTGCAAAGGTTACAATGTGTAATTACAATTTTGATTTGTTAAGCACAAAGAAAGCCACTGTCATGCTGGGGCATTTGGGCAGACTAATCCTAGCATATAATAACTACTTTAGAGTTTTACCTGGAGATTACCTGGAGAGAGTTTCGGGGGTCAACGCCCCCGCGGCCCGGTCTGTGACCAGGCCTCCTGGTGGATCAGCGCCTGATCAACCAGGCTGTTGCTGCTGGCTGCACGCAAACCAACGTACGAGCCACAGCCCGGCTGATCAGGAACTGACTTTAGTTGCTTGTCCAGTGCCAGCTTGAAGACTGCCAGGGGTCTGTTGGTAATCCCCCTTATGTGTGCTGGGAGGCAGTTGAACAGTCTCGGGCCCCTGACACTTATTGTATGGTCTCTTAACGTGCTAGTGACACCCCTGCTTTTCATGGGGGGATGGTGCATCGTCTGCCAAGTCTTTTGCTTTCGTAGTGAGTGATTTTCGTGTGCAAGTTTGGTACTAGTCCCTCTAGGATTTTCCAGGTGTATATAATCATGTATCTCTCCCTCCTGCGTTCCAGGGAATACAGGTTTAGAAACCTCAAGCGCTCCCAGTAATTGAGGTGTTTTATCTCCGTTATGCGCGCCGTGAAAGTTCTCTGTACATTTTCTAGGTCGGCAATTTCACCTGCCTTGAAAGGTGCTGTTAGAGTGCAGCAATATTCCAGCCTAGATAGAACAAGTGACCTGAAGAGTGTCATCATGGGCTTGGCCTCCCTAGTTTTGAAGGTTCTCATTATCCATCCTGTCATTTTTCTAGCAGATGCGATTGATACAATGTTATGGTCCTTGAAGGTGAGATCCTCCGACATAATCACTCCTAGGTCTTTGACGTTGGTGTTTCGCTCTATTTTGTGGCCAGAATTTGTTTTGTACTCTGATGAAGATTTAATTCCTCATGTTTACCATATCTGAGTAATTGAAATTTCTCATCGTTGAACTTCATATTGTTTTCTGCAGCCCACTGAAAGATTTGGTTGATGTCCGCCTGGAGCCTTTCAGTGTCTGCAATGGAAGACACTGTCATGCAGATTCGGGTGTCATCTGCAAAGGAAGACACGGTGCTGTGGCTGACATCCTTGTCTATGTCGGATATGAGGATGAGGAACAAGATGGGAGCTAGTACTGTGCCTTGTGGGACAGAGCTTTTCACCGTAGCTGCCTCGGACTTTACTCTGTTGACGACTACTCTCTGTGTTCTGTTAGTGAGGAAATTATAGATCCATCGACCGACTTTTCCTGTTATTCCTTTAGCGCGCATTTTGTGCGCTATTACGCCATGGTCACACTTGTCGAAGGCTTTTGCAAAGTCTGTATATATTACATCTGCATTCTTTTTGTCTTCTAGTGCATTTAGGACCTTGTCGTAGTGATCCAGTAGTTGAGACAGACAGGAGCGACCTGTTCTAAACCCATGTTGCCCTGGGTTGTGTAACTGATGGGTTTCTAGATGGGTGGTGATCTTGCTTCTTAGGACCCTTTCAAAGATTTTTATGATATGGGATGTTAGTGCTATTGGTCTGTAGTTCTTTGCTGTTGCTTTACTGCCCCCTTTGTGGAGTGGGGCTATGTCTGTTGTTTTTAGTAACTGAGGGACGACCCCCGTGTCCATGCTCCCTCTCCATAGGATGGAAAAGGCTCGTGATAGGGGCTTCTTGCAGTTCTTGATGAACACAGAGTTCCATGAGTCTGGCCCTGGGGCAGAGTGCATGGGCATGTCATTTATCGCCTGTTCGAAGTCATTTGGCGTCAGGATAACATCGGATAGGCTTGTGTTAGTCAAATTTTGTGGCTCTCTCATAAAAAATTCATTTTGGTCTTCGACTCTCAGTCTGGTTAGCGGCTTGCTAAAAACTGAGTCATATTGGGACTTGAGTAGCTCACTCATTTCCTTGCTGTCATCTGTGTAGGACCCATCTTGTTTAAGTAGGGGCCCAATACTGGACGTTGTTCTCGATTTTGATTTGGCATAGGAGAAGAAAATACTTTGGGTTTCTTTCGATTTCATTTATGGCTTTTAGTTCTTCCCGCGATTCCTGACTCCTAAAGGATTCTTTTAGCTTAAGTTCGATGCTTGCTATTTCTCTGACCAGTGTCTCCCTGCGCATTCAGATATATTGACCTCTTTTAGCCGCTCTGTTATTCTTTTCCGTCGCCTGTAAAGGGAGCGCCTGTCTCTTTCTATTTTACATCTACTCCTCCTTTTTCTTAGAGGAATAAGCCTTGTGCATACATCGAGTGCCACCGAGTTAATCTGTTCTAGGCATAAGTTTGGGTCTGTGTTGCTTAGTATATCTTCCCAGCTTATATCGGTTAGGACTTGGTTTACTTGGTCCCACTTTATGTTTTTGTTATTGAAGTTGAATTTGGTGAATGCTCCCTCGTGACTAGTCTCATTTTGTCGGTCTGGGGCTCCATGCATACATGTCTGAACCTCAATTATGTTGTGATCTGAGTATATTGTTTTTGATATGGTGACATTTCTTATCAGATCATCATTGTTAGTGAAGATGAGGTCTAGTGTATTCTCCAGTCTTGTAGGCTCTATTATTTGCTGGTTTAAATTGAATTTTGTGCAGAGATTTAAAAGCTCGTGTGAGTGTGAGTTTTCATCAGAGCTGCCTCCTGGTGTTATTACTGCAACAATATTATTTGCTATATTCCTCCATTTTAGGTGCCTTAAGTTGAAATCCCCCAGGAGCAAGATGTTGGGTGCAGGAGCTGGAAGATTTTCCAGACAGTGGTCAATTTTTAACAGCTGTTCCTGGAATTGCTGGGATGTTGCATCCGGAGGCTTGTAGACTACCACAATGACTAGGTTTTGGTTCTCGACCTTTACTGCTAAAACTTCCACTACGTCATTTGAGGCATTAAGCAGTTCTGTGCAAACAAGTGGTTAACTTTTTAATAAATCTTTATTTTATCTTAATACTAATGCGAGGTAGTCAAGGTAAAGGTTTGTAAATATAATAATCTTGAAGATGTACATAATAAAAACAATAGTATTACAATTAATGGCTCAAACAGTAATATTTTATGGATTGGCAGATGTTTTAATTGACTAGAGGTCGTATAATATAATACAGTGGACCCTTGGTTTTCATGAGTCTCAGTTTTCGTGAATTTTGGTTATCAGCAACTTTTTTCGTCAAAATATAGCCTTGGTTTTCGTGATTTCCCTTGGATTTCGGCAGTCATACGGTATGTGTCCCAGTGGCCCCGCGCACACAAAGTCTCCCACAGATGCATTCAAGAGTCAGTCCGGCATTGTTTCTCAGCAAGTGAGCATCACCCCCCGCATTCATACGAAACATTTCGTAATAATCCATTGTTTTTTTGTGCTTGCAACTGCTAAATAAGCCTTTGGTAAAGGCTGTGGAATGTACTGTGGCATTGGGGATTTCCATGGGGTTGGCTGCGAGTCCCCAGGATGTGGAAGAGTTGGTGGAGGACCACAGTGAAGAGCTAACCACTGAAGAGCTGGAAGAGCTTCATCTACAACAACAACAGACCACAGCTGAGGAAATTGCTTCAGAGGAGGAGGAAGAGAGAGAGGAGAAGGTGCCTTCCTAAGTGATTAAGGACATTTGTGCAAAGTGGAATGAGGTGTAAACTTTTGTGGAGGAACATCACCCTAACAAAGCTGTTGTAGGCTGTGTCTGTGACATGTTCAATGACAATGTGTTGTCCCATTTTAGGCAAATCTTAGAGATGCCAGCAACAGAGCCCTCTGGAACAATTTTTTGAGTGACAGGGGTCCAGTGACTCTCAAGCTGGTCCTAGTGCTATTAAAAAACAAAGAAGGGAAGTAACCCCAGATGGACTTGGTACCTAAAGTCTTTATGGAAGGGGATTCCCCTTCCAAACAATAGTAACTTCTCCTCCCTCTCTCCTCCTTCCATCTTCCACACACCAACAAGAGTCTTCAATAAAGGCAAGTGTGATGTTATTATTGCTTTATATTGATTTGTCATTCTTTTCTGTATGTAAATCTTTATTTAATCTCTAAAAAAATTATTTTTTGTTAATACTTTTGGGTGTCTGGAACGGATTAATTGGATTAACATTATTTCTTATGGGAAAAATGGTTTTGGTTTTCGTGAATTTTGGATTTCGGCAGACTCTCTGGAAAGGATTAATCACGAAAACCAAGGATCCACTGTATTTGGGAGAGTTGCTTCCATCTGATCAGAAATTGTTTTGGTTGGTTTGGTTAGTATTGAGAGATGAGATGATTTTTAAGCACAGCCCTAAATTTGTATATAATCAGGGATGCCCTGGTGGTTAAAGCTCTCGCTTCACACACTGAAGGCCCAGGTTTGATTCCCGGTGAGGTGGAAACATTTTAACATGTTTCCTTACACCTGTTGTCACATTCACCTAGCAGCAAATAGGTACCTGGGTGTTAGTCAACTGGTGTGGGTCACATCCTGGGGGACAAGACTGAGGACCCCAATGGAAATAAGACAGACAGCCCTCAATAACACACTGACTTTCTTGGGTTATCCTGGGTGGCTAACCCTCCAGGGTTAAAAATCCGAAGAAAATCTTATCTTATCTTACCCTTTACCGGTTCAGGTAGTGAATTCTAGAGTTTCGGGTCCTTTAT